ATTCAACAATTTGTCTCCGCAGCTGACACAGAACAGCATACGCTTTCCACTCTCCAAAATGGCGCTACAGGGTGACGTGGAGGAGATGAATTTGAATAAAGTCATTTTTTTCTTTTCTTTTGCACACAAAAAGTATTCTCGTAGCTTCGTAAAATTACGGTTGAACCCCTGATGTCACATGGATTATTTTACCGATCTCCTTGCTACCTTTCTGGACTTTGATCGTGTAAGGATCCTTGCTGTCTATTGAGGGTCAGAGAGCTTTCAGATTCCATCAAAAATATCTTAATTTGTGTTCCGGAGATGAACGAAGGACTTACGGGTTTGGAACATCATAAGGGTGAGTAATTAATGACAGAATTTTCATTTTTGGGTGAACTATCCCTTTAAGTAGCGTCATCATGAATGCATTTCCGTGTGCAAAAAATGAAAACAATCTATCAAGTGAACTAAATCTGAGGAATTAATGTTGTATTATGGTGAAGCAATATAAAATAAATTATATCCATTTACCAAAACAAGTTAAAAAGTAATTATCTATTATACTAGTAAAAATAATTAAAACTCATCATGTCGAACTAAAGCCTCCCCAAAGTCAGTCGCTTGACTTCCCACAAACAAATCGTACTTGTTGAGTATTTCCTCTTTGGTGAGTTTGCCATCCTGAAAGACAGTGTGACAGACAGTTGAAATGATTTCAGTTATAACTTACGAAAAGCTGACAAAGTAAGTTTTTAAGGTTGGCTTACCTTGTTCGTGTCAGACTCGTACACCAGATGCTTGGCTTCGGCTTCTGCGTGGTCGTAGTCGGCCGGCAGGATCCAGTCCATGGTCTCATCTTTGTCCATCTTCCCATCCTTGTTCTTGTCTCTAAACTCGGAAAACTGCTCTCGCTCTGTCGCCACCCATTCTGGCTCGTCCATTTCATCCTCATGGTTGTACATGTCGCCTGATATTCAAGAAAATTCAACTGATGTTAAGCTATACTGACAAATTGACATTTTTATGCAATGCAAGTTGACTAGATTTTGTAAGGGATTTTTCAATTTAAAATATATCTAATACCGTATTTCACTCACCAATATACTCCTTCAGGTCGATAAAACCATCACCATTCTTATCAATATCCTCCATAGTTTCCTAATGATAAAATGAACAAATTAGTGAAATAGGTTACAGAAAATCCAGACAAAGCCTAGTAACTATATAAAAATCAAAATGATCCAGTTATTGTCCTTTATACATGCTGCTGGTCTTATGTCCAAAATACATCGGTGCACATGATAAAGGAAAAGGATGTTTGTCATTTCTTTTTTTCCTCAAATTTCCTTTCAATTGACGCCACCAATTCCCAATGGATAAAATGAGGCCACATCCAACATTTTACACCATTACACACTGCCATTCAAACGACCAACTATCATTTTTTTGCAAGGAATTCATGCTTTTATTCAGCAAGTATGCATTTATTTTGATTGAGAAATTGAGAGTAAAGCCATTTATATTGTTAAAAAGGATTTCTGTTTCAAATAAATCCTGTTTGTTCTGAACTTTCTATTCATTAAAGAGGCCTGAAAAAGCACAAGCACTATGCAGCACAACTGTTTTCGATATTGAAAATAATAAGAAATGTCTCTTGAGCACCAAATCAGCATCTCAGAATGATTACTGTAGGATCATGAGATACTGAAGACTGGAGTAATGGCTGTTGAAAATTCAGCTTTACCATCACAGGAATAAGAGCAGACTTCTGTAAAAAAATATGACCGCTCTACAGTTTTAAGTAGTAGTATATGTCTGAGTTTACAGAAGTAAAATGGGATACAAACAGGTTTCACATTAACTTTAACTTGAGATAGAACCGACATGCCAATAATAACAAACCCACCAACACAACAATATCTTTCATATGCTCATACTCCTCAGGATGGAGGAAAGCAGTGAACTGCTCTTTGTCAGCGATGTGGTCTCCATTTCCATCAGCCATTTTGAAGCGCCGTTCATCTCTAGCCATCATCTGCTTGTAGTTGTAGCCATCATCAGACTCAGAATCATCTAGAAAAACACAGACAGTGCAAATGATTCAATTATTAGAACAAATGATTATTAAAATACTTATTATTGCAATTCTGCTTGGTGACAACAGTGGTATAAAAACTACACACTTTCAATTCAATTCAAGTTTATTTCTATAGTGCTTTTCACGATAAAATTAAGTTTCTACAACATATTTAGTAGTAGCTTGTCAGTGGTGACTGTCAAATTGATGTACATATGTCACACACTTAACCTTAACATTTTAAAGTGGTAGACAAAAATTACAATTCTGTCATCATTTACTCAAACTCATGTTTTTCAGATCTGTATGACTTTCTTTCTTCTGTGGAACGTAAAAAAAGATATTTTGAAGAATGTTTCAACCTTTTTTTGTTCATAAAATGAAAGTCAGTGGGGTCCAAAACAACACTGGACCCTGAACTTTCATTATATGAACCTTTTTATTTTTTTCAAAACATCTTTCATGTTCCACAGCAGAAGGAAATACATACAGGTATGGAACGACGTGTGTGTTTCCATTTCCATTTTGGGTGACCAATTCTTTAACCTTGTTTATAAAAACAGACTGCATTTTTACCAAGGTAGGTGCCATATGTGACATTCTTGTATTCGTCCCAGGAGATCATGCCATCATTATTCATGTCAAAATCCTTCCATTGTCTTTCCACATTGTCATAGATGTACTTCTTCTGAGCCTTTTTGATCCATGCTTTCAGCTCAGCCTCTGTGACGAAGCCATCCTCGTCTGCATCGATCTTATCCACAATTTTACTGAAAGGCAGCACAAAAAAAATAAAAACATAAGGGTATAAATTAACTAGAAGAGTGCGTTTACTCTTAATCATTTATTTCATATTGAAACGACCAACTCGCAATGAAAATTAATGACTTCCGGTCATCTTGTTGCTGCGAATCACTACTAAATTCCCCTTAACACTCAGCACAATCCTTACCCAAGCCTATTCTTGCTTTCCTCTGGGGTCAGGTCATCAAACGTCTTAGCTTCATTCTCCCCAAGGAAGGCATCGTGGTCATAGTCAAAGTTTGTGCCGTCGTCATGCTCCTTGCTGCTCAGTGGTACATCGTGGTGGGCACGGTCCTTCTTTTCTGTGGGTTTGCTGGTGGCGTAGACCACGCACAGAGCAAAGCACATCAACAGAGGCCTAATCTCCATCTTCATCACATAAGCTCTGGTGAAAGAGAGAGCAAATATTAACATATATATACACATACCAAATCCCACTAAAATAAATACTGATCACAGGAATTTCTGATGTGGCAACGTTTAAATTATCCAACGTGTAAACATAATTTTACGTGTTTGAAGATCTGTTTGAATCAGTGAATGTAAACACTGCGTATGTTTGAGCAAGCAGTGTGACATTCACTACCGTTCAACGTTTAGGGTTGGTAAGATTGTTTAATGATTTTGAAAGAAGTCTCTTATGCTCACCAAGGCTGCATTTATTGGATAAAAAATACAGTAATATTGTGAAATATTACAATTTAAAATAACTCTTTTCTAATTTGATATATTTTACTGTCATTTATTCATGTGATGTCAAAGTTGAATTTCCAGCAGCCATTACTTTAGTCTACAGTGTCACATGATCCTTCAGAAATCATTCTAATATGCTGATTAGCTTCTCAAGAAATATTTTGTATTATCAATGTTGAAAAAAGTTGTGCTGCTCAATATTTTGTGGAAACCAAGATTCACTGATGAATACAAGGAAGAAACATTTATTTGAAATAGAAACCTTCTACAACGTCATAAATGTTTTTATTGTCACTTTAGGCCAATTTAATATGTAATTGCTGAATAAAATGAATTGAAGTGCATAAAAAGTAAATAAATAAAAATGTAAATGTGTGTAACAACTAGGGAAAGAAGAATCTTTGACAGGAAACCCATGTCGACATGAACACAAATGTGTTTCCAGAGAATGGGGGTAAAAAAAATAAAATAAAGGAGAACTAAAAAAAGTATAAATGACAAGTAGTGTACAGCCAAGACAACAAGTGTCCAAGACCCACTAACAAAATTAGCACCAAAAATATTACATAATTTTAGACTCAATCAGTAATTAGTCACACCAGAAATAAATCACATATTAGAATTGTATAAACAGCTTCATTAGGATTTACAGTATAAGAAACAGTTAGATGTTCCTGCCTTTCAAAGTAACGTTATACAATAGCTATTTACTAAGTTACTTGTTAACCAACAATTATAACAGACATGATCAGATAATCTAAGCAGCACAAACAAAGGAAAAAATTACCTTAACGTTACAGCACATTTAAGATGAGATGGTCACCATTCACTTTTATTGTACGAAACAAGACGCAATGAAAGTGAATTGTGACTGGGGCTGTCAGTCTTCTAACATTATAGTTTTGCTTTCCACAGATGAAAGGAAGACATAGACATTTATAACAACATTGGGGTAATCAAACGATGACGAAAAAATTATTATTTTGGTAAACTATCCCTTTAACGTTCAATACCAACGGTGTGAATTCGGCATTACAACGTTACACGGTCAGTCAATGCAGTGGTCAAACACATTACTAAAGACCACACATGCAAAAGCGTATCAAAACGTGTATAAAATACAAACATACCTAGATTTAATACGAGGCCGAGAATCCCAGACACAATACAGGGTCTTTGGTTTACTCTGCACACCCCTGTGCCACACCGTTTTTCGGACTAGCGATCCAATCACAGCGCAAACAGTGGAGTCCGTTCACTGCCATTGGGCCACTTCAGCAAAACAAACCCCGGATGCATTGGAAACCGTTGTTTAAAAATGCGCAGAACTCATCGCGCTCTCTTTTGATTGGCTACAGGGCATCGGAAAACCAATCAGCGCCGAGGCTTCACAATCGGTTGATGCATCGCTCGAGGCCGTCTTATTGGGTACGTCTTGCCACGTCCCCAAATTTGAGAGACCCGCAAATTCTCGCGGAAAGGTGCTGCCATCCTTGTACTGAACATTATTTGTAAAAGCGATGAATGGCGTATCAGCATCGAATTTTAATGGTTGGATTACCTTAATTTAACTGATGCCAGGTTTAGGTTTAGCTGTTTTTAGCCATTCATTACGCTACTTGTCATTTAAAGCCACTAGCTAGTTAAACTACACATTTGAGTAAGTAGTAGTAGTGGCGAAATTATAATGTATTTATGTTTATTACGGGATGCTTTTCTAAACTGTTTAGAAAAGCATTTGCTGTTTAAACACAATAATCAGTATCAGCTACAAGCAAACAAACAAAAGTAACACTTTATTTTAAGGTGTCCTTGCTACACGTTACATGCACTTACTTACTTAATAAACCTTAATTATGCATAATTACATGCAAGTAACCCTAAGCCAAACCCTAACCATATGTGAGCCTGGACCACAAAACCAGTTATAAGAGTAAATTTTTTTTGAAATTGAGATTTATACATCTGAAAGATGAATAAATAAGCTTTCCATTGGTGTATGGTTTGTTAGGATAAGACAATATTTGGCCGAGATACAACTATTTGAAAATCTGGAATCTGAGGGTGCAAAAAAAAAAAAATAAAAAAAAATATTGAGAAAATCGCCTTTAAAGTTGTCCAAATTAAGTCCTTAGAAATGCATATTACTAATCAAAAATGAAGCTTTGATATATTTACGGTAGGAAATTTACAAAATATCTTCATGGAACATGATCTTTAGCCTACTTAATATCCTAATGATTTTTGGCATAAAAAAAATGATAATTTTGACCCATACAATGTATTTTTGGCTATTGCTAATATCCTGTGCTACTTATGACTGGTTTTGTGGTCCAGGGTCACATATGTAGTTGATTAATATTACTCAGTACTTAAATGTATAATTTGACTGTAATATGGACACATTAAAATAAAGTGTAACCCAAAAATATAAGCAAACAAGCAAACAGATGTAATAAAAAATAACTGTAATAAATTAGTAGACTAAATGCAGCATTAATTACACTTTCATTGCGGAAAACATGACAATGACACTAACCTGATGTAATACAGAACAATATTACATGAAAAACCCAAAAGCATAGCTTTCTTGTAATTTTCCATTTATTCCAAGATGACAGAGAAGTTATGTTTACAGTTTGTGCATGTGCAGTCATGAATGTAAAATTTGCCAAGAAAAACAATTTAAATATTTATCTCTTGTGGAATCTGAAGCAAAATACCAAATATAATGTTCGTCAAGTGAACTGAGAATGGCAGAATGTTACATTTGACAAAAGCAACAATATCATATCAAAGATTATGAGAGTATAATGACATGACCTAAACTTATTTCAGTAGGCTACAACTGAAACAACAAAGAGTACGTTATGTCAG